CGTAACTTGTTACCATTCATTGGAGCTTTGCTGTCATCCCAGAGATTATGCATCCATGTGGTGTGATCCGCCGAAATAAGCAGTTGCTTGAAGGCTTGAAGTTTTGTCTTTACATTAGATATATATGGTTCATTGAAGTATTCTGTTCCAGACGATTCAAATAACAAGGTAGTCTGCATTTCCCATGACTTTGATCGTCCTGGAAAAGTACATGATGATGACCATATAAAGACTTTCCTATTGAGACGATCATGGTCCATGTTAGTTAGCCTACAGAACAGACGTGCAATTTCCACACGCTGTTTAGTGTAAATTGATGGCCATGCCATGTCTCCGGTGGTGGCTATGTTTGGTGCACATTTCCCAAGGCATAGAAAATAACGACATGCTCTGTTCTGTATGGCATTTATGCATGAATACTGTCTTGTACCCCATATTCCAGCTCCATATAGGAGAATTGGCTGGACCATAGTTTCAAAAAGTCTTGTGTATACTTTATATGGGAATCCTCCAAAGGATTTAAATTTGGCAATCACCTCTCCAAGAGCTCGGTTGGCAGATTTTGCGAGTATTTTTACTGATTCATTATAGTCCAGATGTTCATTAAAATACAGTCCAAGATATTTATAATCATGTGTGTAATCAAGTGTAATTTCACCACATATAAATTGTTTCTGGCATCGATTTACATTTTTGGGGCGGAAATGCATTATTTTGGTTTTGTCTTTATTAATCTGTACTCTCCACTTTTTGCACCATTCATTTAATATATTAAGTAGTTGTTGTAGATTATCTGGGCTTGGGGCGATCAAAATAATATCATCTGCATATGCTAGAATACCTATGTTAGTCCCTCCAATGTCAATGCCATATCCAGTGGTATTGATTTCTGATATAAGGTCATTGAGATATATCGAAAAAAGCGTGGGCGATAATTTGCACCCCTGTTTCAGACCACAGGTCACGTCAAACCATTCTGTAGTGCTGCCGTCACTCATCCTTACTGCACACTGAACATCCTTGTACATTGATGTAATTGCAGCATACATACGTCCTTTAACACCCATGTTTGCAAGTTTGAGCCACATGCAGTCTCTATTGATATTGTCAAACGCACGGCGGGCGTCCACTAGAGAAACGAAGGTAGATTGCTTCCGCAGTTTGCGATTGTTAACTATATCATGTAATGTGTGGATATGATCGATGCAGCTTCTCTTTTGACGAAACCCATTTTGACTATCACATAGTTTTTTGTTAAGTTCTAGCCATTTAGTGAGTCTACAGTTTAAAATGTCACAATATACTTTAGCTGGGACAGATATAAGTGATATTCCTCGATTGTTCATCGGTACTCTGCTATCTCCAGCTTTAGGTATTGGCTTAATTACTCCATGGTTCCAAATTGATGGCACACATCCATTTTTAAAACATAGGGAAATTATTGTAAATAGAATTTCAATACATGTAGGGTTTTTTAATACCTCCGCTGGGATATTATCTATTCCAGTTGCTTTACGAATTTTAGCTCTTGTAATGCTGTCTATAACTTCCTGTTTTGTAATATCTGAGTTTAAAATTGGTGTAGTAGTTGAATTCTCATCGATGTTCATATTGCTCAATTCTGTTTTCACATTAGTCAAGTGAGTTTCATCAAATGTTTGGTTATTAGCATCATTATACATATCGCTGAAGTCAGTTCGCCATTGATGACGCACAGCCTCTGGGTCTGAACTTGTTACATCTCCATTTTCATTGACTAATTCCATTGGTGTAAAATTAGGCCTATCGTCAGCAATTCCTGTATTTTTATATAATTTCCAGAAAGATGTCTGTTCAGTTGAGTTACACATTTCCAAGAGGTGGGCCTGTTCATTTACTTGATGTTGACGTTTCGCTTTTCTAAGGGACTTGTCGAACCTACGCCTTGCTGCACAGAAATCTTGACGTAATGTTTTCTTTTGTCGAGATTTGTCACTTAGCCAGATCCTCTCCCTTTCTTTAGCATAATCCCATTTTTGTTGTAATTCATCTGACCAATATGGTTTGGCACGCTTTTTATGTTTAAATTTGGCATTATTATAATTACGTTTGTGGGGCAGTTTTAAGTCCATTTCAGAATGTACAAAGTTCATAAAATTGGAGTAAGCATCATCGATGCCTGAAATATCTTCATCTAGTGACTGTATTCTATCTAAAGTTGCATGTAGCTGACGCTGTACATCGTCACCCATCATCAAATTGTCTGGTATCACATTAAGCTTAAATTGCATATTTTTGTTTATTGCACTGTTTACAGCATATGGTGCAGAATTAATTGGTGGCAGGTTTATAGTACTATATATTAATGAGTGGTCAGGAACCTTCACTGGAACGGGTATATCATATTTTGAGATTGCGTCTGTCATTGTTAATACACCGAAATCTGCCCAGCTATTTAGTTGCTCATGGGGAACCACGATATAGTCCACAACTGATTTCCCTCTTGGTGCTATGAAGGTGAAATCACTTGGACCAACACGTCCATTTAGCATGCAGGTGCTGGTGCTAGTTAGAAAATCGATCAGAGTGTCTCCATACGCATTAGTTGTAAAATCAGAAATATGAGTACGTGGTTGTATATGGTCCACCCCCTCAATGAAATCATTTGATTCCCCACATCTGGAATTGAGGTCACCACATATGGCAAAGTGTCCCAAGTTCTGATAGGCATATATTTGGTCTTGAAGACGTTGGTAAAATAATTCTGCATCACTCTGCCTCGAGGAATCCTTTGGTGGAAGGTAGCAGCTGCATATACATATGGATAGATTTTGATTAGATTTGCATGTGAGTTTAATCCACATTATGTCCTCCACACTTTTATCTAAAATTGCACAATCAAAGGTTTCCAACAATTGACGTTTTATTAGCACACCCACACCTCCAGATCCTCTATGCGCATTTTTATTAATATCTTTACGATTATGTCCATACCATTTATAAACTCGGCTTATTGGTTCAATATTTAATGTTTCATTTCCTTTCAGCCAAGTTTCACTAATACATATCACATCTAAGCCTGTAGCAGATAAAATATCATTTCTAAAACCTGAATTATCATTCACATCCCTGGACCATCCATTAACATTGAATGACCCCACTGTGAACTGCCGGCAACGGCTATTGTCCTAATGTTGGGAATTATGACGCCTACCCCCGGCACGTTGGGGCAGATTTACCTGCTGGATTGGTTGGGCTACGCCACGTTGGTTTCTAACAAGTGGAATGTTCACATTTCTATCAGCCGACATATTCAAACGCTGGGGAGAATTTTGCCTTTGACGAACTTGTCGGACTGCTGATGATACGGAACTAGAACGTCTGCGCCTACGGTTCCCTGGGGATGTAACCCTGTTGTTTATATTGGTATGCTGCATTTGCATGGGGTTTTGACGGTCAAGGACTCGACCATTTATAACTGTCAGTTTGTCGTTGGCACACATATTTACGATTTTACGGAGATTCGCTTCTGCAGTAAGTGTCTCACGGGATTTCACTTCATTTATATATATTTTACGGGTGTTGGCACATTTAGATAGGGCTGCTTTATTTTTCAGTACCAATTCTCGTTCCTCGGTTGAGTGAAATGTCGCTTGTACAACCTTTGAATTAGGGAATCTTCCAACCCTTTTGGCTTGAAGAGCATATATGTCCAGTAGTTTCATATCATCCTTCAGGATTTTATTAACTTTTGCTAACACATCTTCATTTTGCTCATAGGCAATATTTCGAAATATGAGATCCAGGCTAATATTATGCTGAATGTTTTCAGTCAGCATTTTTACACTTGATTTTACTGCATTTAGATCATCCTGCACCTGATCAATGTTTTTCTGACATACCTCTTCAGCGATATTACGCATACGCTTTTCTTGGTTGTCCAGCCGTGTTACAATGTCGATTTGAGATTTCTGGATGGTCTCGAACATTTCAATTATGCGGTCGAAGTTCGGTAATGTAGCGATAGAGGGTTGTTGGATATCTATGCTGTGCTTCAACGTATCCTTGTGTGCCATAACAATGACATCATCTGTATTCTGTGCCCTGAAAGGTACCCTACCACCCTCGGCTTCCGGGGTAGGTGACTCTCAGGGGACTCCATGCCGAGGGTGTGACCCAGGGCAAGGACTCTCCCGGGAGGCAGCTTCTACACCGACTACCGGGGCACTAGTTGCTGGAACTGTCTTTCTTGTAGCTTTTTTTGTTATATTTTTTGAAATTGGAGGCGCCATTTTGGACCGGAAGTCAGGATTTTTCTCCTTCAAACGCCTATATATCCTCTGATATCGGGTCAAATTCCCAAATATTTCACTCTATGCAGACTTTGTGTGTTACTTCTTAATAGTATTACAGTATCTTGACTAAAATATTCACTAAAACACTGATATTTCATAGATATGTCGAAATTTTTTGACAATTTATAAAAAGAAGTAGTGCAGGTATTACAGCTATGATTGGTATTTAAATGCAATGCCCAGTATACCAGCGTCTCATATACCTTTATGTTTTTCTAGAATTCCATGGATAATGAATGTGAGACGTTGCACCCTTTTATAGATGTGTGGGTATAATTATTACAATGAATACAGAGGCTTAGAGTTACAAATGAAGGTCTCATTAAGGAGGAAAGTCTCTCTGAAGGCCTTATTAAGAAGAATGCAATGGATAGGAAATGTTTTTAGCATTCTGTTGTATGTGAGAGAGATAATGCAGATCACCTGTAAAGTATTTCAATAAAATACAAATTCATCCAAAAAGTTGAAACCCAAGACAGCCAGCTTAACCAGAAAAATACATAGTGTAGTGATGTGCAGATTCAGGTCAGCATTTAGAGAAGTAATCAGGCTTTAAATGCAGACTCTATTGATCAGAATGATAAATGAGTTAACCTTTTAAAGCAATAGTTTAGAAAAAACATTTGGCTCAGTATAATGCTCAATGTTTAATTGAAATGCCATTAGGATAGGACCATTATGATTTACTTTTGTGCATACAAAAATGACAAATCTATACTGGTTATGATGTACATGTATATTAAAACCTTCTAAAGGTTACAGTTACATCAATGTTGGGATTATCCAACACAAGTTGTAGAGGTCATGAATTAATACAACTCTAGAATGATTTGTAATCTTACAACTTTTCGAATAGTCATACTCATATTGCTTCCATGCATTTACTTGATTGTATTCCAAGTTATTCTAGATGGGAAAGAACATACAGAAATCACAAAGGATACAGAAATATATAATGAACATGATAATGACACTAAACCACATCCATACAAGAAGTGGAAATACTATAAGGCAAAAGATGCTCAGGATGGAATAAAGAGGAGATTCCCAGCATTCATAATAATAGGAGCACAGAAATGTGGGACACAGGCCTTAGCAACATTTTTGGATTTGCACTCTCACCTACATCGATCACGACAATTTGAAGTGCACTTTTTTGACAAACGATTACCAAAAAATTACAGCTATGATTGGTATCTTGATGCAATGCCAAGTGTACCAGCGTCTCATATGGGCTTTGAGAAAACCCCTGCTTACTTGGATATGGCAAATCCAAAGGATATATACAACATGAATAAGGATGTTAAGTTAATTGTGATAATATGTGACCCTGTAGATAGAGCAATGTCTGCATATTTGCATCGTAGGGAGCATGGAATATTTCCAAATAATAGTGAATTTGGTGATGTTGCCATAAATAAATGGGGGCAGGTCAATAAAACCTGCGATGTCATTGAACGAGGATTATATGTGAATTACATCAAAAAATACCTTAAGTATTTCCCTCTCGATCAGATGCTCTTCTTGGACAAAGCAAACTACAAACAAGACCCATTTGCTGCTTTACGTACAGTAGAAAGCTTTTTGAATGTTCCCCATTTTGATTTCACAAAAGTACTCTATTTTAATTCTATCCAAGGTGTTAACTGTGTTGTACCAACCCCTAAAAACCTTGAAAAAATCAACAAAGGCAAAAATAGAGAGACTATAGATTCAAAAGGATGTTTTGATGAAACAAAACACAGACAGCATCCGCCAATGTCATTGATCAATCGAAATAAACTACAGCAATTTTTTAAATTTTATAATACAGAACTCTCAAAACTTACAGGTGTTAATTTTACATGGATTTCATATGATTCTGAATAAAAATTAGTGAACTGTTTTATTTCATTCATTACTACATGCATTGTAAAGGTCAATATTAAACTCAGACTGTCATTATCATTAACATTCCTCATTGCAGAATTATGGATTATGGTTTAAAATATCCATAGTAGAAACACTAATATTATGAGATGGAAATATAAAACAATTTGCCAGTCTGACAATACAACCTTCAGTTATACCTTCTCAGTGATGTAACAGCAAAAATTAACTGACAAAAGGCCAAGATCTGAACAAATATTTCCTACTACTGACAAAACAACCTTTTTTGGGGTTGTCGAGTTGCCGGAGAGGGCTTGAGTGCCGGCACGTTCGAGCTAGGCGATTGGGCACCGTAACCATGAGGTTGCGAGTTCGAGATGCATGTGCTCCTTGTGTTTATTCATTCCTAACCTTTGTGCTACGTAAGTTGTTTCCATAGCAATTGAATAAATGAAAGCTTGTAAAATGTTAATTTTAAATTCCTATTTGACGTTGTCAAAGAAATAAGTTTTTTGAGAACATTCAAGACACAAAGTTCAAACAACCATGAAATAAAATGAATAAATGAGTAAAGTTTAAAATCTTCATTAAGTTATTTTGGTTGGAAATATTGCCAATAACGGACACTATATATATTCAATATACGAAATTATCATACATTTTCATTATGAACAGATCTAATTACCAGAAGTTGAAAGAGGTACAAATCAAATGAGCAACCCAGTCTCCAGATACATAATGATGTAAAACTAATAGTTTCATGTGTAAAAAATAAATTTCAAAATCAATGGAATAATGTCATATAGTTAACAGTTTAAGTTTAAGTTTATTGTTCCATTCAGTTTATATACATTACATATTATAACAATGTGACGCGGAGCGTATATTGCGTTTTGTATAAAAGATAAAGGTCATATAAGAGTATAATAATTTATTGTTGAAGTGTTGGAACATAAGAAGTAAAGGTGAAAGGACTGCAGAGTAATCATAGAAAATAACTAACCATATCTAATAATTTGAAATGATGTGTTTTTTGAGAGCTGCCTTAAATGAATTAATATTGACACATTCCTTAATTTTATTTGGTAATTTGTTGTAGTATGATGGACCAACAACCTTAACACGGTTGAACTTTAATTAGAGAGGAACTCAATAAACGAATTTGCAAAGAACAATTTTCAATAGTAATGTAATAAAATGGTGATTGATGATCTAATTGTTACATGTGAATTTTAATTTGAACTTTTGATCTTTAAACAGAGTGATATGGTGAGAATCCACTAATATTAATTCATAAACTGAGCTGAAATATCACTAAAAACATGAAGTAAAAAGATTTAAAGATTACTCATGGAAGGTCTTAGATAAACATTTCTTCTCAAAAATACAATATGCAAAACTAGTAAGACATTGCGGTTTGAAATGACAAAATTGCTGATAATGTTGATATTGATGCAATCCTAAATGGCCAAGGAACATTCAGTATTGGCACCAGTATCATATCAGAATGATCAAAATAAAAATATCTGTATTAAAAATGCACATGCGTTTGCGCAGACCCAGCTTCTGTACTCATTTTTGATCTGATTCTGTGCTCTTGTATTAGTTTTGGCAGTTATCATAGAAACAACTCTTGTGCAAATATTGCAAACTGCTTCTGCTTCTATGTTTATATTTCTTATGTATGTACTGATCTTCTGTACTGCTTCAGCGTTCATCATGTTACTTTCCCTTTGTACCATTCTTGCCAACATCTATAGCTTCTGTGCTTATTTTGTAAGCAATATTTTTCATTATAAGAGCGCAAGATCAAACTCCTTGAAACTATATGGCATCTCTCAAATGATATACCACACTATCATACATATGTGTGAAAACTTAAACTTTATTGCAACGCATTTAAAAATGTAACAATTTGTAACATTTGCGAAACTTAAAATTCCCTTGTGCTCACACTCTATTTTTACAACATATTGTTGATGTACTCATCGGCCAGAAACAGTGCCTATAATAATATCGACTTTTATGGGTGGGGGCATAAAAACCTTACCAAAACATTTAATGTCGTAAACATTACGTCTACTACAAAACTATTGCTTGGATTATTATCATATGTTGTTTTCTACATGTTTGACAGTGCTTTACTTTTGAACTATAGAATAAGAGGTTTAACATATATGACTCAACTGACATGATACTAGTATCTAGGGGTGTCACGGGTTGTATATCTTTCAGGTCGGGCCAGAAAAAAAGTGTGCGGGTTGGGTAATTTTGGGTCGGGTCAGAAAAAAAATGAATTTGACTTGCTGTTTAAGCCTGCATTATTGCATATCATAGCCTACCTTAATAAAGGGAAATGATAGAAACTTAGCATTAAATCATTCGGAAGAACCGTAAACTATTCCCCATTCGTAAGTTATACGTATTCAAGAAATAGGCCAAAAGTTTGAAATTTTGCGGGAAATATAAGGAATTTTACGGTAACTTATGATATTCCCAAGTGTTCTGACCTGACCCAAAATTGGTAAGTAGTTGTTCATGACCTGAGCCTTCCGACCCGAGATTCGGGTCGACTTCGGGTCGGTGTGACACCCCTACTAGTATCCCATATAGTATAAGTAAAAGTATAAAGTAACTTACTTTTCTACCATGTAGTCAAAGTTTCCAAGTTTGGCCTGGTAGCCATTGATAAGCTGTATAGCATGGGAGGTCACGCTACAATGTAGTAGATTCTGCTCATGGATGTACACCAATGCGTCACAGATTTGAGACGAAATAGACGTCACCAATCCAAGAGGCATATCTTCCATCTGAAAATCAAAAGAACAGTGATTAATTGAAAATCTCAAATTATTTCAGTAAAAAATTTGGGAGCAAAGCACCCAACCTCATGTACCATCCTCATGTTGTTTTATTCCAATTTCACGGATTCACATATAAAGTAATACCATTCATAGTGTTTAAAGGAATTTTTGTTTTAATTACTGTACTCTCATTAGTCAAAATGAAATGAATACTTGCTTTAAAGGTAACACAGGTAAAAGAGGATGCATTTTGATTTAAAGAACGCTATTGACATCTTTGTTTCAATCTTTTTTAGCAAATAACTGTCATCATATACTCACAACATTTTCTCATTCATGAAAAAATGTATACCTATTTATTTCATAACATTTTCAATTGAATTCAACCCAAAGGACATCTATTTAATTTGAAAAAACATTTATTGTAAAAAATGGCTAGATGGGTGGGTGTTACTATATGTAACAAAATTTCTGCTGAATAAAATTCCTTTCAATATTTTACTTCACCAATGCCATCCAACTTGTTACAGTATATGTTACTGCTATATGTGTATACCAATCAGAAATTGACAGAGTATTATTACTTTATATAGTAAGGGTTAATTGGGTCTATGAGTTGAGTTGTCTGGGCAATTACTGCCCCAAGGGTGTGGCATTCTATGAACTGGGAAATTCTCTTTTGCCTTTTGAGTTTAGGATTGCACCCAAGTGGAAATGAAGATTTCATTCTCATACTCATGCTTCCCAAAATATACAAGATTCTTATATACAAGCTTCAAAATCATCATAAGACTGAATCAAGGGAATATACTATATCTAGTATTTGTGTTACTTCGCTATACCTGCTAGTTGCATAAATAAGTTACAAAAGATAATAGGTTTATGTTGGCAAGAGTAATATAATATGGCCATTTATTAACGTATACATAAAAATATTGGGTGAGACTTGAGATAATGTATGCGGCGCCAGTCAAAATTGAAACTTCTGATTGGGTTCGAAGCCGAGATGCCCGGATATGTCCCAGCAAAAGCCGGAATTCACGTGATTTTTCACGAAGAAGGGGCGGAGTTTAAGCGAGATTCATCGAGACTTCTTCGTGTCAATCGTGTCAATCCCTGCATTGCTTATTGTTAACTCCACCTTTTTGCCCATATATGGAGATGGAGATGCCACTTGCGAGCGTGAACAGTTCAGTCTAGAAATTTCTTAAGCGATGTCTTTCTTCGATTTTTCTACACGATATCTCGATAAATAGTGGACATATTTGTACCATTCTTTCGTCAAAATGAGGGTATCGCTGGAATACATATTTCCAATCTGTTGGTCAATAGATTTATTCATTGATACTGGCAGGAATTAGATCGTAATAAACATGCTAAAATTGTAAAACTTGGAACGTTTGACAGTAATCTCCGAGTAATGTATGAATTGCATCAGGAGAAAGCAGGAGAAAAGCTGGGACAGTCTGTTGTGTGGAGTTTGCAAAGCAATCCCGGATATAAATGACGTCATCTTAGCAGTTTACATGGTTTCGAAAGTAATATATTTTAGCTAGGCTGCCTGGGTGTCGTAGTGATGAGTTTGAATTATGTCGATTATTCGATTGTTATATATAAATAAACATCGATCTTCGGCGAAGATAAAGTAAGAACAACATATATATCCGAGAAACATGTTGGTAAGTACAGTATTTCATTTATAATGGCAGAAAATCAAATTGAATCGAAATCGAATTTTCAACTTTTTCAATTTTTTTTCGTTCGATTATTTTGATTTTCAATTTGATTTTTACATTCTATCTTCTTCGTCCTGCGGGACTATACTAAGCATAGGTCCGGAACATGTATAACATTAACGAGTCAAATTCACTTATAGAACATGCTGTAAGCTTTATTTCTTTACATTTTTACGGGCCTATGCCTGGGCTATGACTCTAGGCCTAGACTACTAGATCTATAGGACTTAGACTAGCCTAAAGCTAGAGCCTTAGATCTAGCTCTTTCAGAAGCTGTGACTGATATGTTAGAACAGCCTTTAGAGCCCCCTATCAACCGCTTCAAAATTGTGTTAGTGTCCTCCTTGCGAAAATCGAAAAAAATTAAAAGGTGCTTCTGTGCCGAACAGCAAATTCTCATTATATATTGAGAAGCTACTCTTTACCAAAAAACCAAAAATGGAAGTTTTGACGGAAAGACATGACGTACAAGTCAAAATCTCTGAATCTTGCTAGGTACATGACAGATAAAGAGAATTTAAATCCTGATCAGCAAAGAAGCGGCTAATAACTTACATATTTTCTCAACAAAAAGCACTGATGTAGCTCACATTGGGAGATAGTAGTAAGCACTTGAAGTTGATTTCAATAGATCAGTTACACCTGTCATGATTTCAAGGAAAGACACAAAGTATCCGTCAAAAGAGAAAAGCTTACATAAATGCGAGCAAAATCTGCAGATTTATTATAGCTATTGACTTCTCGAATATATTGAACGCACAACTCTAAACAATACTTGAAATTGAATAAAATTGACAAAATATGAGAAGACAGTCTAAAACCTAACTGGGAGAGCTGCCATTGTTTGCCCGGAAATCTTCAGAGATTTTGACTGGTACTTTGTGTCTTTCCATCAAAATTGCCATTTTGGTTTCTCGCTGGGTAATTCACAGATGAAGAGAAATCTTGATTGACAAAAATACAGCTGATAGCTAACAGCTTTTCTTAAACAGAACATAAAGGAAGATATAAAGGAACCTGTTATGATTTTGAAGCGGGTGATTGCCGATAGGGGGCAAATTAAGGCTGTAAGTAGAGGGTGTAGCCAAATAAATCTAACCCAAATAGAGTTTAACACATCTCAGTATAGGCAAAATTAAAATTCATTAAAGTTTCATCACTTTAGCATGTGTACATTTGCTGGCCTTCTAATA